TGTCCTTGTGGTCAGAACAATAGTGCACTGTCCGTTATCATTATGTGCATGTGGATTAGTATGATGTAGCTCAAAGAGAGAGGGATGGGGGAAGAGAGAGAGGGGGGAGAGGGGAGGGAGGGATAGGGAAGAACCAGATATACACACACAGTCACACACACACATACACACACACACACACATACACACACACACACATACACACAGAGAGGGAGAGAGAGAGAGAGAGGGATTTGTGGTTCTTAGGAGTTATTGATCTTCCTCGACTCAATAAACTCGAGTCATTCCGAAAGTAGGGGGGGGGTTAGGGTAGATTTTTGCAATGAATGCCAGCCAGACTCAGCTGTCTATTCCACCTGATCGTTAAGACCGTTATTAAATTTCTCTGGCCTAGATTTATAATACGTTTAACCTTTTTAATCCCCATGTAAAACGATCTACCGCTAGGCTAGGCACCAGAGAGCTAGGATCGCGTTGCTTTAATTAGACTGGGTTCTGGATTTCAATCTGATTTCTCAATACACGCAACTAAGAGATAAGATGGTACATTAGGGAGAGATAGACTTGTAATATCGAACATGTATTACGGCCGTCTGAAGTGCTCCTAAAGCAGCTAAAAAGATCTCTTGGGGTTCAATTTCTTTGTTGGTTCATGTTATGATGTTATGACGTGTGCACATGAGTGAATCACGTGACTTTATGTAGTTTCTACACGCTTTATTAAGGCTGGTTTTGCGTCAACTGATATATTATGTTTTTGATGACGGTAAACCAATCTTTGCTTGTTTTAGTTTCGCTGGGTTTTTTTTTTTTTTTTTTTTTTTACAAACAGAACGGTACATGATAGTTTTTGGTGATAGTTCTTTGCCTGTTTTACTTTAATTTTTTATTTTTTTTAAATTATTTTTTTTGTATGTGTTTTACTACACTCGTAATTGTATATATATAAAGTCATTTTAGCGCCGGAACACACTAAACATTTTCAGTTTGTAGGACTTAAAGTTTTGCCCGTGTATCGCCCGGAGCCTACTCTTATCGAGTTTAGACCATCAAGGGATCTTTAACGTGCGCAACTCGCACACGGGACCTCCGAGATTTTTCGCCCTCCCAGAAGATCAGGGGTGTGGTTGAAAGACAGCAGTAACAAGGAGCCAAGGAGAAGCAGTAGAAAAGCTGCAGAAAGAGCCAGAAGCCCAGAGGAGGGGGCACAGGAGGTTAGGGGATGGGGGCAGAAAGTGGAGACGAAAGCAGGCAACACAACATTTCAAGAGAGCAGGAAAGACGGTGAAAGCAGACAATTTTAGAGAAAACATTTTCGTTGCTACCAGGATTCGAACCCGGAACCTTTGAGTGAGAGGCGAACACCTTAATCCCTAGGCCACGAGAGCCGCCTTGCCTGGCTTTAGTTGAGATACTCTTGTGTAAAATCCTGAAATAATGTTCGTTGAAGATTTTCTCTTGTCCCCCTCCCCCCTTCTCCATGTTGCGCCCCGCTTTTCCTGTCACACGTTCATGTTCTCTGATGTGCACTCCCTCTTGCTCTCTCGCCGTTTACACCATCGCTCACTCATACCGTCTCTCTCTCTCTCTTCTCTCTCTCTCTCTCTCTCTCTCTCTCTCTCTCTCTCTCTCACTCTCTCTCTCCCCTCTCTCTATCTTTTTCTCACACACACAGGCACACACACTCTTTCTCTCCCTATCTGCCCCCCCCCCTGTGGCAGTTTTATCTGGTCTATCTCTTAGTCCCCCCACCCCCCCTTTTTCCCTAATACTGACAAAATTTCATTTCATTGAAATGTTAACAGTAACAACCCCCCCCCCCAAACAAACAAACAAACCAAACAAACAAACAGACGATCTTACTCCCCCGCCCCCGCCTTGCAGGCTATCAATACTGTTACACGTCCTTTCAGCCGGATCTGACACCACAGAATGCCTCACTCCTCAATCACACGGACTCAGGTGCGCGTGCTCTGACCCTCCCCACCTCCCCGCCCTCACACTACCCCCTCCCAGGCCACCCCTCCGCCCCCAAGTCACTTTCCCCACCCCCACCGTCTCCCCCTCACCCTCCACTCTCGCCATCCACCCCCACCCCAACGTTGCCCCTCTGATCGTCTAGCCCCACCCCCATATTCTCCCCCACGCCATCCGTCATACCTGGCGTTGGCCATACCCCCACCCCCTTGCGCCATTCACACCCACCTCCACACGCCCTCCTTTCTGTCTAACCCTTATCGTAACGTTAACCAATACACACACTAATCAATGTTGTGCCCCATGCATGAAGCTACCTTCACTGAGGAGACAGGTGCAACGGGTCACGTGCAAACTTGGCTGACGAGAATTTAAATAAAAGCAACGACCCTTATGGCTAGAGACAAATAATATTACGTACAGCTTAACCTGCCCAAGACGAACACTCATTGCCGAGAAACAAGAGGTTATTATATATAAGCGGTCATCTTGGACAGTTTTTTTTGTGGTAAGTCTTTTAAGGCGTTCGCAACTGCGTAAAGTCATATGAGCGCGCGGGACACAATATGTACATTAGGCATTTTTCAGTTGGTAGGAAATTTTTTATTTTTTGCCCGGGTGGCGGCCGAAGCCTATTCTAATCGATCTTAGGACCACTAAAGCGTCTTTAACGTGCACAACTAGCGGTCTGTCGGTCTGTCGGTCTGTCGGTCTGTCGGTCTGTCTGTCTAGCCAACCAACACAGGACACACAAATGAAAAGATATCAGAGTGGATTCGATTTCTGAAGGCAAAAATAGCAAAGGTTATTTTGACCTTATGAATGACGAAAAATCTTTATTTATCGCATTTTCCCATCTATTGCACTGTCGCTTGAAAGTCCAGGGTGGCCTATTAGAGAGCGGACGGTGGACCTTTTTCTTAATTGAAGTCTGTTGAAGGGGTATAATCATTGTCGATCATTGGAACAAAAGTTTTCGTTAGGTA